TTCTTCTTCTTCTTCTTCTTCTTCTTCTTCCTCTTTTTCTTCTTCTTCATCATCATCATCATCATCATCATCATCAAACTTGTGTCGTGGAAGTTATAGAAAGGATGCACGCTGAAAGAATCTACTACCTGTCAGAGAAGAATGAATGGATTTCAGATATTCAGGCAGGTTGTCGCCAAGGTCATAGCTGCACCCACCAGATCATCAGAATGTCTAGGAATTGAGGAAGGTTTTCAACAAAACCCAACGTTCTATTCATCAGTCTTAGACCTGCTTGACTAGTCCAAAGCATATTATACGGTTTGGCGTTAAAAGACTATTACTGTCAATGGCTGACAAGGAAGTTCCGTTGCGTGCAATCAGGTGGATCCATGGTTTCCTGAGAAACAGACAAGCCCGTGTTTGCTTGAATGGAGAAATAAGCAAGAGCCAGAATTTCGAGCAAGGGCTTCCTCAAGCAGCTGAACTATCACCGCTGCGGTTTATATTCTTCATAAACAACCTTGCAAAATCCCTCCCAAACCCTGACTCACAACAACTAACCTCCACCTAGCTGATCTACTCCAGGTTTGCTGATAACTGCACAATACTGGCCAGTCACGCACAGAGAGAAAAGGCAAATGAAGCGACACAGTAGATTGTGAACATGGTTGTGAAATGGAGCAATGAATGGAAGCTTACCTTGAATGCAACCAAAAGTGAGGTGTGCTTATTCTCAATGTGAGTGAAGGAGGCAACGTGGCAACCAATAATTCAGATCGAAGGGAAAAAGATATCATTCAACCTCGCTCCATGCCTTCTAAGCGTCTATCTGGATAGACAGCTAACCTTTAACAAGCACATTGAGGAAGTGACCAAAAGTGCAACCTCAAAAATGAAGGTATTCGTTGCTGTCAGCAACTCAAAATGGGGCTGGGGTAAGGAGTCGTTCAAGAGGATATATCAGATGTTTGTGAAAAGCAAGATGAATTATGCTGTTCCAGCGTGGCAGCCTTGGCTGAGTGAGACTAGTGCAAAGGCCCTGGACAGAATACAAAACAGAAGCCCTCCTCCTTGAATCAGGCCAGCTGAAAACATTTGAATTAGTTGATGTTTTACGGCTGAAAACGTTTGAATTAGTTGATGTTTTACGGCTGAAAACAACACCAACAGAAGCGCTACGCTATGAGACCAGAACTGAGCACTACACAACCTATACAAAAAGTACATGCGTCAATTCTTTAGAGATCGCTAAGAGATTGCCTCACAACCATCCTAGAAAGAAAGCCCTTGATAAAGCAGCAAGCCTAAAAACAGTAGGAAAAGTTCTTTTCGGATGAGCACCGACCCAGCAGACCCCCCCCCTCCTGAAGCAGAGAATCGATGGATAATCAATCTGGTGAAAGCGTGTCCAAGGGAGACCCATGGCAAAAATCGAAATCCGGACAGAATTGAGAGGAGTGAAGAGCAAAGGTGATGATCCTGTAAAGGCACGTGAAGCTGCAGAGGATACCGCGTAGGTGGAGCAACGACAGTGGTGATAATGAATGATGAACCACCTCGAACAGAAATCATTAAAACTAAACGTACATTCCTTACATCATCTTATGACGAGGAATGCCAGGCAATGATGTCTGCTGCACAATGGATTGCTGACAATTGCCACAGTAGAACCAATGGGCTGATCTTGACTGACAGTCAGTCCCTCTGCAAGGGACTGCTAGGGAACAGCTCAGACATAAATGATTTGCGCATAAGGTTCAGTGAAACCACAGCTATTATACAAAATCCAGTTGATTCCAAGACATGTTGGAACAGAAAGAAATGAGGCAGCAGACCAAGCTGCCAATGAAGCCAGAGACATTGACGGAAACAGACGACCAACAACATACAGAGGAGTCTTTTCAATAATCAAGAAGGAAATCAAAGACCCACCTTGCAGAGCTAAGTACCAGCACCTGGAGGATGTGTATTCTGGGTACTCCTATAAGCGGGAACAAAAATCTATCACATGTCGCTGGGACCAGGTTGAGCTAGCGAGACTGCGGCCGGACTATCACGGGAGCTTTAGATGGTATAAGAACTTTGTGAATGAAAAGCTCAGCCCACGTTGCCGAAGATGCAGCCATGAAAAGAAGGATGTCAAACATATGTTTGAATGTCCAGGAACAATGGCAATTCGAAAGGAGTTATTTGGACGAGTGGAGGTGCCTGTAAGTATAATGACAATAGAGCCGAAAAAGAGCCTCGCTCTCGCTCAAAGATTTCTTCTAGGAGTCCACCAGGCCCACTAAGGAAACAAAACAAAAAATCATCATCAGCGTCATCACACAATCAGGCCAATGGGCATCCCTCGTAGTGTAAACCCTACCTGTATCTGACACTCGTTTCGTGAGCAAACACTGACGGCGTAGTACTCGTGACCTTGTGCGTCATCCGGCAGCAGGCGCGCCGACATTGCAGTGGGGTCGGATCCTGTGACCAGGTTGGCGACGAGGATAACTGTTACCTGGGGGG